GGTTAATCCCTTGGAAAAAGCTCTGTGGGGGCTTTGTGGGGGGGGGAAGCGACGAGTGATTTTGCTCTGAGGAACAGGGGGCTGGATTAATACTCCAGGGGGTGGGGAGTTGAGGCTGGGAAAGGGTATTTCTCGCAGCAGGGCTGAGGGAGGAGAGGGGATGTCATTGTGGAGGGGAAGAAACGGTGGAGAAGCATTATTGCTGGAAGCTGGGGCAGGGAGGCGCTGAAGGAAGGGGGCTTGAGTGGGTGGGTGATATGAGAAACTCTTGAATGAAATGGGGCTTCTTTTCAAGAGGAATTAGACTGGAAGCTTATCCACAGAATAAGAGAGCCCAGAGGCAAAGGGCCTCCTTCCCTCAATAGCTTATTGTACCCCATATTTATTGGCATTTAGAAAGTAATTATATTAGGGTGGTTTTGCAGTGAGAGGAAAGGTGGGGGCTTCTTTCAGAGGAAGTAGGTTTATTCTCGTTTCAAAGGCTTACACGCATTGAGAAAGCAATTAAGAGGCAGTGACAATGGACTTGAAATTAGTATAATGGCATTTGGAAGTTTAAAAGCGTTTTTCCTGTGTAATTGAGTTTAAAATAATTAAACATGAAGACAGAAGGAAATGACATCAGTATGATAATTGACCATCTACATTCAGACCACAATTTTCCATCAGTCTACCCCTCTGCATTGAGAGACTTGAATTCATTTAAAGCTGATGTATTTCTTTTTGTAAGTCTTATTTTGTGAACAAGCAAAATTGGTTTGTAAACAAAATCTGTTTTCTGCTCCGAGAGAAGCCTCCCCTTTCATTTGCTGCTGATAGTCTGAAAACTGAGGCCTAGCTGGCAATAAGGAGGCCACAGCAGCAACTGCTTAGATCTATCTGAAGTAGAAAGGAAGAGTGTTAGAGGGTGATTGTCAATCCTGCTGTCCAATGAAATGACTGGGGAGGGCAGGACTTGTGGTGACATGCAGATAAGTGGTTGGGCCAATGAGACACTGGGATACACACATGTAGGGCGTAAACAATGGGGAACTGGGAAACATACTCCAAAGACAAGTTTATGCAGTGTTGTTATATGAAAAAATGTGTGTATGTCGTTAATCATGGAAATTATAATAATATCCAATTGATAGGGTTACTAAGCTCATGAGCAGGCAATTACTTTTGTAATTGACGGTTTGGAGAATGATTGCTATTGTATTTGTCAGACTCTGAGACAAACATGTAGGAAGTAAGCAGTTGTGAACTAGATGCTAGATCTATTTTTCGCTACACTACATGCTTTCAAATGTGAAGAATTTTAAGTTGCTGTGTTTCCCACTAGTGAGGTTAGCAAACCTGTTACATGCCAATTCCTGTATTTGGCTCAAAATTGAGATTTTTAGAGGTAAGATTTTACATAATCTGATCAATAATGTCTGTAAATTAAAAAAAAAATTCTTGTGAAACTGGCTTCATTGTCCCATCCAATCTTAATATTGGGGGGGGGGCAGAAAAATGGCTCAAGTTCTTTTGATCTAAAATATATTAGTAATGTAGAGACAAGAATTGCTTGAATATGACACTCTAGGAAGGCAATTGATTTATAACCAGTAATGGTTGTTCAGTTCTTCCTTTGTTTAGTTTCAGGAGGTTATTTTATTTATTTGAATTTCACTGAGTTGAGTATCAGATAAAAAAAAATCAAAGAATGTAGGAATACCGGTGGTAATTGTCTGGTTTATGTGTGTAGGTTTGCAAGTGTTGATTGGTAATTTTATTGTATCTTGCATTTTTTTCATCCTAGAGCAGGTCTCGTAATTGGGAATTTATCAACATTTCCACTGGGGTAATTTTACAGGATTATCTGCCCTGTGTTCTTCCTGCTGTTTCATCTGGACTCTGGAGTTTGCTGCTAGCAATGAAGCCTTCTGTGGGGGTTTATTCACGCTATTACTGAAATGGAGCCATTCGCATTTGGATTTACGCTTTATTCACTTTCCACTTGAATCGCTTGGATCAGTCCATTTATAAAAAGGAGACTACTATGCATCTTTTTTCTGTTTGCATATTGAAGTTGAACGCTGGGTGCATCCTTGATGTGTACAGGCTGTTTACTTTGCTTGAATGTTAGAGGAAGAACTGAAATATAAAGATAGATGAGACTATAATACTGCATGGGCAGGTAACTACTTTCGGTATTTTATATTATCGGATCTTTTCTTTTTTGAAAAAAAATGTAGCGTTTCCAAGTTTGAAGAAGCCTTGTTAAACTGGGTTCACAGTGGTAAATGTTGAGAAGTAAAAATATTAAGATCTGGATATTCTAGGAGTGAGGAAGAAAAAAAATGATTAGTAAATCCAATGTACTGTTTAAAATGGAGAAAACAGCTTGGAAAACTGGAAGAAATGCCTCCAAAGTTAAAAAAAATCCAAGATTTGCCCCCTCCCTGCCCCCCAATAAAGTCACCTCACCTGAATAAGTTTAACATCCCTCTGAAGTTTTGTCTACACTGCATTTTCATTGGTAAAACTTCTGTCACGCAGGGGTGTTAAGAAAATACACCTTGATGGACAAAAGTTTTACCAATGAAAAGTGCCAGTGTGGACAGCCTTGGCTGGCACAAGAGCATCTTTCACCAACAAAAATACCACTCCTCATTAGGGCTGGTTTGGTTTTGTTGGTGGGAGAACTCTCTTGTGGACAAAGAGTGGCTATACTGCTTCCCCTAGAGCAGCAAAGCTTTAGTGCTGCTGTTATATGGCACGCAGTAGCCAGCATAATGCATTAGGCACTACTATCACTTTATAAGACCTTGCAGTGTATATAAAACAACAGCTGCTAAACCTTCTATTACAAAACCAAAGAAAATGAAGACTTTTGTTCATAGTGCAACATGTGATATTATCATAGTGTTGTTATAATGCCTAGGATTCCCAGTCATAAAGCAGAACCCCATTGTTCTAGGTTTGTACAAATACAAGCCAAAGATAGCCCCTGTGCCCAAGAGCTTGTGTGCTGTTTTCTCTGCCAGCAGAATATAGTAATTTACAAGTACTCTGTTGTTCATCTTGTCATGTAATTTTGGTGATGCATACAAATCATGGGTACCTTGACATTACTGGTCCAGACAGCCCGGCTGATTGAGTGGGTTATTTCTGAAAGAAGGCTCCATTTTTTTCTTTAGCGTATAGGATTGTATACATACTATTACATAAGTAATTGCTTTCCCCGTAGATTTCCTTTGTTCTGTATATTTTTTTTCTTTTACAGTTGACCAATGTTAATATTCAAAGGTAACATTTTGTATTGACATAGATTCAGTTTGAGAAGAAAATACTTGAAGCCTTAAAATCTAATGAGAATAGCCTTGTAGTTCAGGCAGCAGACAGTCCCGAGATCTGGGTTTCATTCATGATTCTCTCATAGTCAAACCTTGCCTGGGTCACATGGTGGGTTGTTTTTTTAAAAATTTTAACATGAGAATAAACTATGTACTCCAGAAGGGAGTTTTTAGGCTAGATTAAATAATGCTTGTAAAATCTTTTGACATGGAAGCTATGTAATTTTGACATTCATACTAGGGATGTTAAATATCGGTTAATTGAATAGTCGAGTAGCCTCAAGAATTCTTATCAGTTAGTTGACTAATCTATAGTCCCTGGGGGTGCGTGTAGACTACATGGCTCCGT